GGGAGGCCAGTGAGAATAAGCTTGAAGGGTTACAAGCTCGAAAATCAGTTTTCTTTGCACCTAGCATGGGTCAGCATTGATTATTGAGATTGGATACTTGCTTCAGCATATACAATGGTAGTCCGCTGATAATGAATCAAAAATCAAGCCAGAGTTCATAAGTTTTCCATTAATCTATCAGGTCAGTTAGTGCCTAGAAAGTAACCAATCATGTTTTGTTTTGTTTTTTTTTACCTGGGATTTGTCTTATAAGGAACACTGTTTGTCATCGTACTGGTAATAATAATACCACTAAATAATCTTTATGGAGGAAGCTCCCATCACATTGCGTAGTTTTCAGGGAGGTCCTCAGTAACACACACACACCTGCATACCTTTTGCCCGAGACCATCAAAGAAAAGTTCCCAAAACATTGGTTTAGGCACTTACTTTTTCTGTGCTTCTTCCTGCTGTGGCATCATAGCTAACTGAGCCTGTAGTGCCTTGACTCGTGCCTCTATAGTGCTGTCTGTGGCACCTGTGGAACAATCAATTGTTATCATGATGATAATTTATTCTCAAACTGCCTCTTTTCTTGTCCACTCAGAGGGACAAACAAGAATAACAATAAATGGTTAATGCTGTCCGGCAGACACTTGACTAAATACTTACGGTTGTTGACTTTTTTTTGCACAAATAATGCACACTATAAGACTTAGTATTCAACTTTCATTCCTATTGGCAATGCCACTGTTAAACTCCACTGGTGTATTACAGATATTGACTGTTAAATAAAAACTGGAAGCAAGCAGTTTTAAATCAACAAAGTCATCATTGCCTTTTATACCCCCTGCAAATGGGAGGGTGGGGAAACCACAAAGCAACTTAACAGTAGGAATTCTAATTTGTAGTTAATCCTAGCAGATCTTACCATATCTCCTGGCTGCACTGTAACAAGCAATAGCATCACTAAACATGAAAAGGAAAAGCTTGTATGTCAGAAGCAGGCAACCTGAGCCTTTTATACACGTTTATATTTGCGATGGACTAGCATCCCATCCAGGAGAGAGAAGAAATACTCCTATAGTTTCTTCATGCTACAAAAACAGGGATAAGCTCTGGACTGATGGGACAATTGACTCTTGTGCAGACTTTCTGAACAGTTATTCTTTAACAATTATGGGAGTGAATTGTACCAAGCTTCACTAGACACTTCTTTTCAGCCTTACAAAGACAAATCTTATCACTGAAAACCAGTCATAAACTTCATTCAAACTGGGGTTTCAATAAGGGCTGGGCACCGATGGTGTACAATGTGCAGTTCCAGAAATATTCCATTCTATACTCCCTCCACAGAGGGGATTGGAATTTCCTGGGGGTGGGGGTTCTATAAAAACAAAACACTTAAAGAAATAAAAGAAACTTAATTTAAATTTCCAGAGGTGTGGGGGTCTTAAAAAAGATCTCTTCTGTGGGGGAAGAATGGTTCTTTTTTGGAACTACACATTGTATGTCCTCACTAATGAGGATATTGAAGACAGAATTTTCTGCTTTACCATGGTAATTTTGCAAACAATCAGTGACAATGGAAAGTAATTTATCAGTCTATGTAGTAAAAAGAAAATTACACAGTGGCTTGATGATATGAATTTTGTTTTCACATGTTAAATATTCTACTTGCTGTACTTAAAAAAAAAAAAAAAATTATATCCTTACACTGCCATGTAACTTCTCACACTTATTTAATAATATTTCATCAAGTTTCAACAAAGGAAACCATAACCATTCTCCATCATCAGAGTAAAATAGGAGTGCAAAAGGTCTTGTAAGTGTACTTATTTAAGAAAGTTCAATACAGTTAATTCAACAACAAATAAATTCTTACCTAAGCTGTTCACAGGCCTCATAAAGAATACCCAAGTCAGTCCATGCAGCCACATGTGTGGGGTCTAACTGTATGGCACACACATAGGCCTGCAATGCGTCCATAGGCTGATTTTGTTGCTGGTACAACACTCTACAAGGATAAACAAGACATAAGATTCATTCTACAATACAAAACCTAAATTCTTGACAGAGAGCTCTCAAGGGATGGATTAACAATTCCATGGCATCACTTACCCTATAGAGCACCACGTGTCGGCATTGGCTTCTGACTTATCAATGGCATGGCGATAAGACGTAAAGGCATCATGCACTTTTCCTTGCATGGCATAGCACCTGGCACAATAGGTTTTAAAACATTTTATAATCAACTTACCAAGTTAAAAGGCAACATAACACTTGTCATGGGTAGAATACATGGTAACAGAAAATTAGCAAACAGAGACAGGCCTTAAATGGTTAGACTACCAAACAGGAGAACCAGGATCCAGGCCTGGCAGGGATCTATGAAATGTCTTATTGCGTATGAATTCTCTCAAAGTGACTCTCTCCACTATGAATTTAAATGGATATATGCAAACTGTTGCTGAAATCTGACAAATTATTGATTGAGGGGGCGGAGATGGGGAGGAGGTGAAGGGAGGGTGTTACCTGCAATGGAGTAGTTATGCTCATTCACGAGGAGTGGTCTTTCTCCTAGTCATTTTTTTCATGTTATGGAAACTAGAATATAGCAGTAAGCCACCTTAGGTGGTTAAACAAGAAGAAACTAAACCAACCTGCCTATAAGATACCATGCGGCACCACTGTTTGGATCTGTCTCAATAGCCTTCAGTAACAACTGAACAGCTTTTTCCATTCTTGAAGTTCTATCTCCAAGGTGTTCCTTGTTGTAATACATCCACCCTTGCCAGGGGAAAAAAGATTCCAAAATCAGAGGAAAAGATTTTCTATCTATCTCAGTTACAAGGACAAAATAATTAATTTACACTGGATTATAACATTTCCTTAAAGGGAGATGTGATATTACTTATAAACATGATATTGGATGATATTACTTATAAACTTACCCAGTTGTTTATATGCATTGGCCCTGACAGTGTTCGGTGCATTGGGAGTCTCTATGATTGTTTCATACATTTCTTGGGCTAAATCACACTTGTTCTGCATCTCAAAAAGGTGACCCAGATGAAAACGAACTGAAGTTAACAAGAACAACAAGAAAATATAATTATATATGAGATAAAAAGTAAAGTTCTACATGCACACTTCAAAGACTGTGAGTTGCAAATCTCTTGCCAGTATCTGTTAGGTTAACAGCAAAAAAAAAAACAAAAAAAAACACCATTTGACATCAAGGGAAAACACAGTTCAACTTACTTTCTACTTTTGACAGTGAGCAGGGACTGGAATCCATAAGTGCCATCTGAAAGTGCTGCATTAACAAAACAGAAAATTGGACATTACAAGTCAAGACTGTACCAAAGGACCGTAATTATGAACAGTGTGTCATGTTCTTGAGCAAGAAAAGATTTTGTACCTAGGCTCTCTCTTGACTAAGGAGTATTATAAATAGGTATTGGTGAACCATTAGAACAGGCAACCTGAAAAAATGTTGGGGTAACCGCTGATGAATTAGGGTCTATCTGGGGGAGGGGGGAGGGGGGAGGGGGGAGGGGGGAGAATGAGGGAGAGGAGGGATAGCATGCATTCTTTAGAAATCAAGCATCCAATATACTATGTTCAACAGAATCTCTTGTACTTTGTGCCACAAACAAACTACTATCAATCCACTCTTGATAGTGTAGTTGTTAACTGAGTGTTGAAAGTAATCAGGCAATTACTTTAGTTGTGGTTTTACTGTGGTTTGAGATTGACAGAGTAGTCTAAATGGTATATGCAATTGGTTTTATTTGGTTTTAGTTTCAAGACAATCAACTGCAAACTGCTTGTTACAGAAGGCATCAGTAACAATCAATCTTAGAACTTCAGGCAAACACTACATGTCGTAAAGCTACATCCTTCAAATATATAGTCTTCTTTAATCTCAGGTGTCTTTAAAGGACAACGACTAAGGTGTCTGTTGATATTCTGACTAAGATTATCACTAACACCAGTGTCTTGGTTTTTAAATATCCAAAATGTTACTTACTTTTATACTAGCCTCACAGCTGCCTTGTGCTTTGAATATGATTCCCAACCTGAGGTGAACTTCATTGGAACAATTAAAGCTGGGATCAATGTAAAGAACTTGCTGAAATATCTTTATTGCCCTGTTTGAAAAGGAAATAATTAAATTCACTTTTGGCATGTCCTTGATTAGCATAATGCAAATTTCCACTGACAGGTTTCATTGTTCATGAACATAGCTATGTGTAAACAAAAGGACCAAAATTCTTGACAAGCTGTACACTGGACCAATTCTGACAAGTTGACAATTAACTTAGTCAAAAAATACACTTGCAATGCTCAGCACCAGCAAATTATTTTAAAAAAGAAATAATGGGACAGTGTAATAGCATAGCACATGAACTGATGTCTTAGTAACTATCTTGCACACAATATGCAGCTGTTTGTTCCTGGTTTTTGTTTCGTTTGTTTGTTTCTGTTTGTTACCTGGTGTCCGGCACCCTGGTATCTTCATGTACAACTGCACTGAATTCATTCCGAGAATTGTGTGACCAATATGACTCAACATGTTCGCTGGAGTTACAACCTGACAGACAATGCAAAGCATACATTACAATTAATAAACCTCCATGTTGGCACCAGAAATCTGAATCTCAGGGTTCTGCACTAACCTTAGCAAATGGTGGAAGTTTAGTGAGCTCTTGAAGCTGTGTTTTCCATCTGAATGAAAACAGCAAAACATTAATGAGTTTTAACACATAATACAATGATTTTAAATATGCTCATAACATTATAGACCTTTCCAGCCATACGGCAGCCACTAAGATTTTGAATTGTATTGTTTAAGTAACGAATTAGCATTTATTTGCCCCTAAGCATCCCGTAACAGCTTCATGTATGTGAAACCATAGAATTTAAAATGGCCGCTGTATCAGCAAAAACGTCCATTGTAAGGAAACTGTGAAACTGTTAAAAATGAAACTTACTTTCTTTCATCAGAGAGGTCAACATTAGTACCAAACTTGATCCATTTAAATTTCTTTCCTTTTCCTTTTTTACCACTGAAAAGTTTAACAAACAAAGAAAAATTAGTTTGAAAAATTAGTTTGCATAATTATTTCCCTACATGAAGTTTACAGTACCTTTATAAACCACAGCCCAAAAGGGATATCTCACATTAAGTATAAATATTAAGTCTGTGCTCCAGGAAACATCACAGCACAGTATATGAAAGCACAGCAGAAAGATATCAACACCTACTTTTTTGAGCTTGAAGAGGAATCACTGTCTGAATGCGATGGCTCTTTAATGCCTGACAGTCTTTCCTGCTCTTCCTAACTCACACAAACAGAAATGAAATATTACAGGTCTGCTTATTACAGTATACAGTATACTAAATGGACTAGTAAAAGGCAGAAGATGAGCAAAGCAGACCTTGGAATGTTTGTACGATAGAGAGGAAAGTATTGACTGGGGTAACCACCACAGCAAAAACAACTAATTACACACTCTGTACATGCTAACTGCAACAACTTAACTTGTACCAAACATTTACTACATAAATTATTTAGTTTCACTAGATAAAAAAAAAATTAAAAAGAGAACTGGTTGCCCAAAATAACCAATACAACCAAACTTAGGAGAACAATGATCTTCATAGTAATGTTATAGCATCAGGTACATACAGAACACACTCAGAGACAGACTCATAGACTACTTAGTAATCTAGTGTAGTCATTGCAATATAGTTTGTTCATAAAAATTTCAAGAATAAAATCCACCTTGAATTGAGCAAGGTTTACCTTCAAAGACTCCTGAAATGAATTGGCCTGATACTGAGCGTACTTTGCAATTGTTGTGAATGACCTGCGGAAAGATATGCCAGACATGGACCTGTTATTATATTACAATATGGCTCCAGGAGTATGTGCAACGAATTTGAGTAAGCTTCACCTCCAGTGGTTTGGCAGGAGTAACCATTCAAAGCACAGAAATGATGAGATGATGGTGCAGATGCATTAAGTCTGTAAAATGTTTTAAATATAGCTCATTTTCTAGTAAAACAATGCAGAATCTCTTGACAACATTAATACTCTGTTATGCCATAAAAATAATGACAAACAAAATGGTTTACAATGTGACCAAAATACAGTACCTGCTACTCTCACAAAGCCAAACTTTCTTTTCACCATTAGTGTCCCAGTTTTCATCTGAGGCTTGAAGTCTCTGTAAGGTAGAAACAGCTTATGATGAAAACAGCAGAATCCCAACAGAACCTTGTTAATTAAACCCACTTGGCACAAGCAACTAAATTTCTAACTTTTCCCTACTAACAATATACAACATCAACAGATTAAAATTTGATCATCAAAATTTGATACTTAAAGAGCCACCGAGAAAAAATATGATCTTATTTCGTAGCACAACTTGTTAGTAATCTGCAACCTCCTGCTTTGCTAACAATACCTAAAACATGAATGCTAGCATAAGTTTTACCTGTGTTCTCACTTCCACTTGGTGATCACCATTTGTTTCAACAAGAGTCTTGGTTGAAAATAAACTCAAATCTGCAAAATATTGAACATCACGAAACACATTCAATCATCATTCATGAAAATAAAGATTAACATGCTGCATTCTTTCTTCACTATATTATCAGTTTGAGGGTCAATAAGGGCTGTAACCCATAGCACCTCCTATGACAGAGCATGCTTGATGGTTGGGAGCTTGTTGTTACAGGTGAACCTGGCTATAGTTGAAACAATTCACCCATTAAGTAACAAATGCGTTAAGGGTGTAAAGATCAAGGTTACAGGTGAAATTATCCAAACTCAATGACAACCCCACATGTGCCAAAATGTGATATATCTGTTCAGAAGAGGCCCAGAGGATTGGAAGGGATGCTATGTTGGAAACTAAAAACTAGCCTATTTTGCTTGAAAAATAAAACATGTATATATCAAATACTATGACATCCATTTCTATCAACCAAATTTTATGGTACCTGAATGTACATGTATTTAATGATCACCAAAATTCATAGAAATCCAGA